TTATAAAAAAATATTAAAATAAGTTAAAAGTATATATTTTTAATAATTTAAATATTTTTACCTAATCATTTTTTCATATTTATATGCCATAGACTCAAGTAATTGTATTCATGTTTTTTTTTAATGCATAATTTGTTAATAATTTACTAGCCTGTTTCTCAAATAAACTTTTCGTAATTATATAATTATTAAAATTTTTTTCTTGATATTTAATAAATTCAACATTTTTTTTGTTATATTCAAGTGCATTTTTAAAAGTTTTTAAAAATACTGTTAATGAAGTTGTTGTATCTATATATCCTTTCATAAGGTTATACATCAATTCATCTCTTTGTGTTGTTGCCATATCTGTCATAAAAAATTTGCAATTAAAACAAGAAGCTCATTGTTGTATATTTTTATCCATTTTATTAAGATAATTTACTGATTCTGGAAAATCAGTTTTTAATTTTTTCTATTGAATTTTAAAGTTATCTTTATTATATTCATCAAGATATTTATAAAATTGTTGAATAAATCTTGCCCATTTAGATCCTAATGTACTATGAAGATTTTTAATTATATTTTTAAAAAGATGTCATAAACATAATGCATGTTTTGTTCTGAGTGGTTGAAAAACCTAATAGATAGCTTTAATTATTGTCTGATCTTCATTAGTAAGAAATACTTTTGGTGCATTATTGTTAACTATTTTTAGAAAATTACTAAATATCCAATTAAAACTATCTGTACTTTCATTATGCATAAGAGCACCTGCAAAACATATGCTTTGTCCATAATTATTAACTTCAATAAAAATACCAAAAAGCATATTAAACCGATTAGTCTTATAAGTATTGTCAAAAACAACTACATTATAGAATCGACAATAATTTATTTGTTGTTCTGGTAATATCTAAATTACTTGTTGTAATTGATTAGTTTCTGAATCAATTCTAATTTTATACTAAAAATTATTATCTTCTGACTTTAATTCTTCTAATAATTTTACAAAATTATTTGTATCTAAATTTCATTTTTCATTCGATTCTTCATGGTGATATAAAATTATATAGATCATTATAAACCCATATAACAATATTGCCAAATTCTTCTTTTAAAATTACATAAATTGTAGCAACATTACATCCAGTATAATAAAGTAATAAAATTTTTTCTTGTATTTCAGATGGAATTTCTCTTTTATTAGACATAAAATGTTAATGATTTACTGCTACCATTGCATGATTATGTTCTAAATATGTTGTAATAATATACCAAAGGTTATTTTTAGAGTTTAAAGATGCACGAACTAAAAATTGATAGTTGCATCATTGTGATAATCGATTTCTAATATTGGAACCAGTAGATGTTTTTTCAGGATCACCTTCATGACTATATAATAGAGTTCTTTTATGAATATTTCTAGCTATATTTTTTTCTACTTTGCTTAAATGAATTTGAAACCCTTTTTTGCTTGCATATGCTTTAGCTGCTTTAACAAAAGCATCATGAGAAATATAAAAATCACTTTCTTTGAGTTCAATATTATCAATGGTTATATTATTTATGCATAAACTTTTAAAAAGTATATTTTATAAAACAAAAATTAAAAATTATTATTTATATGTTGTATAACATAATAATAGGGGTCTACAGATTAAACCTAGATCTCATGGTTTAGGTTAAGATTGTCCTAAATTTGGGAGATTGCTACGGACACAGCAGCATGTGATATAATTACTCTAATTCTGCATTAACCTTAACTATAATGCAAACTATGCTGTGTTATTAAGGTTAGTGCTGGTCATTTGCTATGTCGATAAGCTGTGTCACTAGTTATCTCCCAAATTTGACCAATGGAATTTATAAATGTCATGGGACTGCCACACATAAAATTGACCAATGGAATTTCCAAAAGTTGCATAACTGCTGCACCTAAAATTGACTAATAGGATTTTTAGAAATTCCATTAGTCGATTTTAAATGCAGTAGTTACGTGACTTTTAAAAAATTGTTGCATCGAAGTCTGCATCACTTAATATATTAATTTTGATCAAGTTTCACCTAGTTTCGCACAGTTTTAGACATTTCAGATGTTTCAGACTTTGGTAAAGGGTTTAGGCTATAACACTAGTGTAATACAGAATTATTTTTTTCTTTAGATACGATTATAAAACTGCCTTTTGAAACTTAACAAAAAAAATTTTTTTGTAAAATTTTAGTATAAGCCATTATCTTATACTAATCATAAACCTATATTTAGCAAGATTTTCCTTTTTTTTCTTTAATAAAAAATATTGTTATGTGGTTTGTAAATTACTATAATGCCTATGTACAATACACTATATGTAAACTAAAAAATTTTCTTATGTATTATATTAATCTACAAATTTAGAGTTTGGATCAAAATCTCAATAGACAGAATTCCGACAAAAAAATTCCAACAGCTAAAAATCCCAGTTGTCAACAATTTTGACTGTCAAAAATTCTGACAGTTAAAAATTCTAACAATTAAAAACTCTGATAAAAAATATCATAGACTATAGCAAAGCATATCTTAACCTTATCTAAAGTGACCTAACTCTAAAATTAATTAAATTATAAGAGTCTATTTCGCTTTAAACATATCCCATATTTGGGATTTTCTATCTAAAAAATTTGGTATATTTGTATTTTATATACTGGTATAAATTAAAGGTAATTTCTATTTGTATACTATATGCATATATACAGGATATATTAATATTTCAAAATTCTAATTATATATATAATTTAAAGTGATTTTTATCATAAATAGTGGTAGCTTAAATTGATTATATATCAATAACTAAATTATTATTAAATTACTGTAATCTTCATACCTCTAAATTCAATTATAATTATTTCAATTTGTAAAATAAATTATTTAGCATTTAAATTTAATTAAGCTTACAATGCTAGATTTGACTTTGTAAAAATCAACATTTCATTTAATTTTGTATAAGTTTCAGTAACATAGATTTCACAGAAATTTCACACAAGATATAAAGTACTATCTAGTAATGGGCAATTACTTACAAGAATCGATAACAAATATTAACTAATCTTACATTTGTGTCAGTAATAAGGAATTGATCTAAGATACGTATTTCTAATTGTAAGAATAATAAATTCTATTTTAATAAAATTCTTTGATATAAATTACATTATAGTTATTATATACAATGTGATAGGTTATATGGCTGAGTCCAGAGATGGGGTGAATGCGACGGATTGTCACTAGAAAAAGGGTTATGCTGCATAATGTTCCTCAAAGATAATAGAGGCAGTTTTACAATTTGGCACAAGGTCAAGGCGATTATTTAAGGAGTATTACAATTTTAAAAGAATATGTGTTTATTTGTCAAGTTAAAAGAGGCTTTATTAACTTTATTAATATTTGTAGAAACAATGCAATTATATTATTATAGGTGGTTATGAACTATTCTTGAATGATACTTTTGTGCTTTGATTCCAATACTCCTTTGGAAGGGGAAATTCCACTCTTTTTATAATAAATTCATCATGAGAAGAGCCCGTGCAAGATTACGACTCTTCTCATTATTTCCAACACTTCCCAACTTATTTGTTATAATCTTTAACCTCTTCTACACAGCCTTTCATTACTTTAACATTTCTCACAGCTTTCATCATATCGATAAGAAATGTTTTAGTTTCATGATCTTGGGGCCAGAACCTATTGTATTGTCTTTAATCGCACCCCCTTGACATCGTCTCACATCTAACCCAAGTAAGGCAGATGAAGTCAACGTCCATTTCCAGTGTGACAGGTTGGTCCAGGTCGACCTTACTTTAATTGAAGGGAGTGGTTGGGTCCCACATAAAGGCTTGTGTACTTTCATATAGCTTATTTGGGGCTGGGCGCACATGTTTCAGATGAATCATTATGGGCAACTCTAATTAGGTAAGTATGCCACAATGTCATCCATTTCACAGGTTCTATGAGGTATTGGTTTTACCTCTAACAACAAATATCAAGAGCTTTAAATTCTAAGTTATTATTAATCGATACACACATGATCCAATCACATGGAATTGGATCACGTTTCTTACAAATTACTAAAATTACAACCTAGCTGCATTCCTTTTTGTAAAAAGCAAGTAAATTATAGATAGTAATTATAGATAGTTCAAATCATGCACACATACATAGTTAAATTTTTCATTAAATTAAATATACATTGAGTAGAACATAAAAGCCAAGATTTCAAAAAAAAGTACTGTATTTGCGAAGTCTGAGATAAAAACATAGTAAATTACTCTATAAGAAACTTTAATGCTATAAGAACCATTAGTTTGTTATAATGAGAGTTGACTGTATGTTTATAAGAACTTGCCGTATTTTGTAGAATAAAGTACCTATGTGATGCAACTTTTTTTATACATAAAATCAAATATCAATTAATACATGTCATGTCAATACACAACAAGCATTTAAAATATTTACATTATCTGGCATGAAGGGTACTTTATTCCACAAAATGCAGTAAGAATTACAAAGGACAAATAAAAGTGTGTGATTTTTTGATGACTTTGATCAATTGGCACCAGTTTTGGATCTTCCTATGTATGCATCAGTTCTTGACAAAATGGGCTCACTCAGAAACAGGTTGTACAGTATAATCTATGCTCAATTAAATTAGAAACAATACAACAACAAACTGGTGATTCTGAAGAGCAACAAATATTCCATAATCTTCTTTTGGCTTACGAGATAGACAATCCACATAATATGACTGGCAATTATATAATTAATAATATTTATTAATACTTTCAATTAAACAAATTGCTCATAAATATAATACAACAAAATTAGAATAACTCAAATTGTTTATTACTAAGATAAAGGCTATACATACTGGTTTGAGGCACCTTCTAATATAACAAATGATCTTGAACCAGTTTTACTTCTATCAATTAGAGCACGTGTGATAACTGCCTCTAATCTTTGGACCAATCCAGGATTGGTCAATGGCGCAATGGGTACAATTGTTGATATTGTATATAAGCTTGAAAAAATACCACCTGCATTATCTACATTAGTTCTATTCAAAATGAATAATTATACAGGTCCAACATTTTCAATATCAGATAGTTCAGAAGTGACAATTATAATTCATAAGTTACAAGGCTTAACATTATCACAGGCCGTAATAGACATTGGAGATAAGGAATTTGTCTTAGGTCTTATATTTGTAGAAGTATCAAGAGTTCACGCTCTTTCTTTTAAATAATGTTTTTCTTATCATAGACTACAAAAACTAAGGGATAGTTTACGTTTGCAACAAAGATTAGCTGAAGAGCAAAGATTACTTTCTTTGTAACTTTATTAAAATTGGGTGATTACGTCTGTCCACATACTAATCTAAATTTATAAAAATCTGGTGCTTACAATTAGCAATAATTATTTAAATAATACCCTGGCTTAACTCTCTCACATGACTTTTGTCAGGAGAAAATTTGCAACTAGTTAGTATGTTATTATTTCAGTATATTAGTAAGAGAAATATCCCGATTTTTTTATTATTTATAACTATATATTGGCAAAATATTTTAATAACTTTTAAGCATAACTGGGATATTACCCTTTAATAATAACCCAGATAGTTATTACAGCAATTTATAAGATCATTAAAGTTTTTTATAATTTAAAAAAACTATTTCAACGACTTAGAAAAATCTTAACTTTACAATTAGTAAAGTTAAAGTTTAACCATCAACATAAAATCCCTGAGTGTTATTATTTTAAGTTGCTTGTGGAATAAATAAAGGAGTAAATGGAGATCCTGATTAATTTTGGGTGATTGAATTGGCTTGATCTTCATTTTGATTATTTTCGTATTTATTATCGATTTTATTATTTTTAGGGTTAACTTCATTTTCACCATTATCATTATTATCATCATTACATTTATTACTTTCCTCAGTTTCATTACTATCATTATACTTATAAATGTAAAATTTTATAAATAAATATAGTATACATAGCAAATGTAAAACAATATATAATACATATATATACAAAACTTTTGTATACCAGGTGGTACTATAAGTTTTGCAATGTTAACTCATTACTGCTCATTTTGTAACCTATACATATTGTATGCTTCTACTGTGTGATGTTTTGTGATGCTCATTCCAGCTTGAACATCTACTTCAGCATCATTTAATTTTTAAGTTGTATGTTTACAAAAGAAATGGTTTACAATCTTTCTATCAGCATAATTAATACCTATAATGAAACAAATTTTTTTTATAAAACTGAATAACTTATCATGACCTATATGATGGTTTGAGTATTAGATATTATCTAAAAAAAAAAAAAAAAGTAATATACTATACCTAAATAATTAATAAGTAGATGAAGAAAAAATTCTTTATCTACATTAGGAGGTTGTTTTGAAATGTAATGTTTAATATTAGCAATTGGTCTGTATTCATTAGATTTATTAAGTGGTATAATATTAGATTGTTTCTTTACTTTCTTATATGCATGTCAATGATGAAAATAACTACCTTAATGTGTTTTGTCATAGATTGTTATCAAATCAAAACTACCATCATTATGTAAAACTAAATCCTTTAATTTTATTTTATAATATAAACCATCCCATTTTGCAGTAATGCATCCTATTCAAAAAATCACTCAAAATAGAAGTCCTTGTAGGTTGTCTTGTGAAATTTGTGGATGATTAAAAATAATTATTATTTTATTATTAGTTAATGGACCAACACCTTGATATAAAGTTAATTATTTCAATTCTTTCATATGACTATGAAGTATTTTATAAAATTCTTTGAACTCAAAATCATCACAAATATTAACTAATTGATAGTTAAAAATTATTTATAAATAATGATTTATAAAATTAAATCCAACATATAAAGAATCAGATGAATATTCTATATTATTCTGTGTTTTTATTTGAATAATAAATTCAGACAAAAGATTTGCAATAGTTATTTTATCTTCAGTATGGATCAAGATTAAAATCTGGTTAAACATCATTAATATAATTTTTAAATCAATTAACCCATATCATGATAATTTTTTAAGTATTTTTAGGTACAACCTTTTTTTTGTAGAGTTGAAGTCTTTCTGCTAATGGTTTTTCAAACCTTTTGTGAATATTAGATAAATCATCATAAATAGATTTAAAATCAGAAACTTTTATAAAAGAATAATTCATTTTTATTTTTATAATATTGATATCTTTAAAAGAGAAAGAGAAATTGAATTATATATTTGAATTATTGAATTAATATCATTTTATATAAGTTTAATATATATGAGCTAATGACATATTTTTTTTATGTGAGAGATCAGAGTATTAATTAATAATATCTTGGGTCATTGTGTAATTAGTGGATTGATCTCAGACAGTGATAACAGAAATATATAACTGACTGCTTACATGGCCAGTCATGTATTTATGCTATCATTGTCTGAGATCAATCTACTAATATCCAATGATCCAAAATATTATTATTACTGTCAGAGGTAAAACTGACACCTCATAAAATCTACAAAATGGACATCATTGTGACATACTTACCTAATTAGAGATGCTCATGATAATCCATCTGAAACATGTGCATCTAGCCCCAAAGAAGCCATATGAAAATACACAAGCCTCCATGCAAGACCCAACCACTCCCTCCAATTAAAGTAAGGTTGACCTGAACCAACCTGTTATGCTGGGAATGGATATTGACTCCACCTGCCTTACTTGGGTTAGATGTGAGACGATGTCAAGGGAGGTGCGATTGAAGACAATACAATGGGTCTGACCCCAGGATCGTAAAACTGAAACATTTCTCATTGGTTCTAAGAAAGCCATGAGAAATGTTAAAGTAACGAAAGACTGTGTGGAAGTGGTTAAAGGTTATAACAAATAAGGTTGAGAAGTGTTGGAAATAATGAGAAGAGTCATGGTCTTGCACGGGCTCTTCTCTCGGTCAATTCATTATAAAAAGGTAGAATTTCCTCCTTCCAAGAGGTATCTCAGTATAATCCAAGAGTTCAAGCCCATAGTTTAGAGTTGTATAGTAATATAACTCTATAATTGTATTTCCCCCTACAAAATATTAATAAAATTAATAAAGCCCTTTGACCTATAAAATATCATAACGTTCTTTTAAAATCGTAATACTCATCTTGTAACGCTCCTCTTCGATCGCATCGACCAGTGCCAAATCGAAAAACCGCCTCTATTATCCTTGAGGAACGTTACGCGGCATAACCAATTTTCTAGCGACAATTCGTCGCATTTGCCCCATCTCTGGACTCGACATTATTACCCGTTACATTACTAATTATTCATATATTAGAAAAATAAATTCTTCACCATAAACTATTTAATGAAATGCATATATAAAAGATACAATATTTATTTTCGAGTTTAAGCACCTAATAGATAAGGCTCCAGCCCTATGAAACGCCGCCATTTTATTACAATATATAGTGCAATTAATTATTTAAAGTAAAACTAAATTGAATCAATATACTTGAGTTCATTAAACCTGTCTAAAGATCAAACTGATTCCACCATCTTTATGTTTTTTTTTTATTTTGAAATTGAACATTTTCAAAATTTTTGAGTTATTCTTTTCATAAACCATTTTTAGTTATGATCTCATTTATCCAATTTCTTTTGAAATATGAAAGCTTTTTTTAGTGCACAACAGCTAGCAGGATAATTCTTTGAGGCACAAAACCATCGTCAACATGAATGTCAATAAAATCATTACCACTTTGGCACCAATTTAACAGAAAAGATTATTTTTGCATTAAAAACAAATCAATTTTATCTTTAGTGATTTTATGAAAGGTGGATAATGTATAATGAAATAATAACTATAATAAAAAAAAGCTCATATATTTCGTGCATTGCTGGAGTATTCACTTTCTATTCCAAGACAGCAAAAAATCTGGCAACGAATAAGAAAGAAAAAGTACCAATTAGTCCTTGGATATTTTAAAAATCAATTGGATGATTCGATGATATCCGACTGTTATTTTTGATATTCCTGGTTCGGATCATAGTATCGAGAATTGTAATGATTACCACCAGATTTCATCGAATAGTTTGTAAATTTATATAAAAAATCCGCGGATCCAAATACTACGACCAACAATTGATCAAAATTACAAAAATTAAGGTTTGTTTAGAAAGAAAAGTATTCTTAACATTATATAAGGTTTTGTTGTTATAGTTTTCAGGAATAAAATCTCGCTGTTTTGAATGTAACAGCGGTAATATTTAAACAGAAAAATTGGTAAAATCTTTACCATTATATATTGTATCTTATGACATTTTCGAAATCAAGACAAGCCTTGTCTCAATGTTAAACTCTTGAAAACCTGGATGGCGCATGAGAAAAATATTTTATCGAGAACAACAAAGGTCGAGAACAACAAGGTATGTCGCAATGTAAAAAGCTCAGTATAACCGCGGACATTAAGCTCCCTTATTAGTTATTTAAAGGACGTAACTGAAAAAGGTGACTACAACACTTATGTGCAACACAAGATAATTCCCTCTTATCATGATATTTCAGATACGTATCGCTATTGACCAAATCACTATAATCACGCCTCTGGCGAGTTTCCTTAACCCATTTTCCCTGTATTGTCGTTGTTCGTACGTACGTTAAATTCCCCTGTTACACTACTTATTACGCTAAAATTAGTTTAAAGATATTTAGATTTTATTGTATGTAAGGATTGTCGATTCGATTTAAAAGTTGTATCGGGTGTTACTTTTGCCGGTGACTGTACATGTGTGTGTGTGTACCATATATATATATAAAGTATAATTTTTTCCCACAGTCTGATTGGAAAGTTTAAATCTAGCCCCTTATAATTTCGAAATATCGATATATAATGGTAGCAGCAATCGTATATCATTTATAATAAATTGACTCAAGTTCACAAAATAATTATTCATTAATTTCTTTAATAATGGCAGAATCAAATGAATTTGTTCCAATACTTTCTCTTAATTCTATTGACCAACCAACTCTATTAAAGCGATGCAAAACTTTGATTGAAAAATTTATATCTCTATATAATAGTCCACCAGATTTTATTGCTCGAGCACCAGGCCGAGTTAATCTTATTGGAGAACATATTGACTATGCAGGCTTTGGTGTTTTGCCAATGGCTATTAGTAATGATGTAATTATTGCTATTAATTTTTCAAATAAAAAAGGTACAAACGTGAGATTATCAAATATTCTTGATGAAAAATATATGCAACGATGTTGGGA